TCATACTTACAAAGAAGACAACGAAGACATATATCATATACTATGTGTATAATTTTGATTGGCTATGTTTGTTTGGAATCATGTGATACTGATCTATTGTGGCGGGTCTGTGGCTAAACTGGCTAAACGGCTTGCCTTGCTTTAAGGAACTCCCTTTTTGGTTGAATCAAATTTCCAGATTCCGATAGGAAGGGTAGATGCAATTCCCATTGTGTCAAGTAGTTTGGTGTCACCTCTATCAGCATATATTTTTCTTACCTTGTTAATTATTGCAGTTATATGATTTGTTATATTGAGACATACATGGGGTATAGGTAAAAAAAGTGAGCAGTTGAGAGATAAATGAATCGGATAACAGATATTATCTATTTGAACTTGAATATTATTCGTATACAGAAAATATAATAGTTTTTAATCATGTCTAGTCACGAAGTAACTGCCTCCAGCAATATTTGTTGTAGTTATAAGGAAATATCATCGTCATTGTATATAGATTGCATTGTTACACATTCCTTTATAATGGTAGGGATGAGATTTCGCAGTGATCATAAATTTAAGAAATCAGATACCATCACTCTTAAACTGGAGCCTTTGAATACGTATGATAAGAATGCGATAAAAGTTATAGTATATAGTATTCATAAAGTCTATGTGGCAAAGGATAAGAATATAAATATAGAAGATTTGATGAAAAAATACCTGAATTATCAGATCACTGCTCATGGGAAAAAGAACTATAATCAATCAGCATCTTTAACCTTGAATATCCTTGAATGGTTTGTGGAAGATGTTGTGATACACTACAAGCATTGAGAGATTATGACTATACTTATTAATGGGACTTCAGACTTGCAAGTAATTTTTCTGCTTTTTGCAATTTTAATTTTTGTTGATCGATTTCACTGCGCAATTTATTATTAGCATTAATTCACTCTTCAAGCTGTTTAGTGATTTCTTGCATAAAAGGATCAAAAGTTTTTTCGTTGAATTCAAGCAATTGTCGGGATAAACTATCTAACTCTTTTTTAACGTGACAATTATTCTCTTCCTTACATGCGAAGCAAGAACACTTATGTGTCTGATCACAAATTGGATTAGTATCTTGGGTTTGAGTTTCTTGATCAGACATATCTGTATTATATATATGGGATAAATTTTTGCATAAAATGTTTCTTACTTATTCATAGATATAGATTCATTTAATGTATAGATTGTGATACTGCACAATATTTTGAAAAGTAAGATAATTATTTAAGAATATATTATTAATCACAATGCCTAAAAAATTATCTTTGAATGATGCAATAAAAATAGCAAAATCTCGTGAAGGAAAATGCCTTTTCATAGAGTATATTAATAATATAACTCCAATGCTTTGGGAATGTAATAAATTCCATCAATGAACTGCTCGATTCTATAATATCAAAAATAAACATTCATGATGTCCCCATTGTGTAAGTAAAAAACTTAATATTTCAGTAGCTCAGGAGTTAGCATTTGCTAAAAATGGAAGATGTATTTCCGAGAATTATATTAACAATAAATCACCTCTTTTGTGGGAATGCAAAAATAATCATCAATTTCACCTATCTCTTACAGAGGTCAAAAATTATAAATGTTGGTGTCGTGAATGCAAAAAACTTAGTCTTGAATTTGCTCAGAATCTCGCAAATAAAAAAGGTGACAAATGTATTTCTAGTTCTTATTGTAATAGACGTACTCCACTTTCTTGGAGTTGTTCTAAAGGCCATTTATGGCTTGCTCGAATTGATCAAATTCAAAGAGGAACTTGGTGTTCCTACTGCAAAAATAAACGAGAACAATTATGCCGTGAAATTGTAACAAAATATCTTGGGCTACCATCTAAAATACGCCAACCAGACTTTCTTAAAACTCCAGAACATCCAAGTGGTTTACATCTTGATATTTATTATCCAGAATACGGATTTGCGATTGAAGTGCAAGGTGAGCAACACGACCATTATATAGAATTCTTTCATAGAGGAGGATCAAATAATTTCATTAAACAGCAGGCACGGGATCAACTCAAGAAAGAATTGTGCGAAGAAAATTGGATTGTTTTAAGGTATGTTTGGTACTACGAAGACCCATATATAGTTATTCCAGAGCATCTTCGAGAATTGGGTCTTATTCAATAGAGTTAAACTTTAAATTGTAAATTATAAATCGAATTATCACAAGTACGCAAAAATACTATCAAGAGGTCATATATGCAAAAACCTTTATTTAACGGAATTAGGTTGAGAATAAATTTGCGTATTGGCTTTTACATATTGCAAAAAAATATTTTTTCAGTATAATATACGTTGCATTCGAAGCACGTAAAGTTGGTTTTCATAAAGACCTTCACTTATTTTTTGCTTTTACATTATTGGCAATCCAAGACTCCAACATGTCTAAATCAATATCCCCCGTTGCCACACCTATTAAAATTTTTTCGGAAGAAACTAGTTCGTAACCATTGAGAAGTAAAAACATATTAATGGCAAGGTTGCCAGCTCTCTTATTTCCATCCAAGAACGCATGGTTCTTTATGATACTCTCCCCAAGACCTGCGGCCATTCTAAACAATGATGCTTTATCATAAAAAAACATGAACTTCGGTCTCTGAAATGCGGATTCTAGTAAACCCATTTCCTAATATACTGTTTTTGATTCATACCCTCCATTATTGATTTATGCATTTCAATAAACAAGTCTAACTCAATCCACTTCGGCTCATATTCGTTATTTGAATTTTTCGTAGAGTAACCTTTGACCGTCGTATTCATTTGTCTCGCAGGCGCAAATAAAGATCCCAATCTTTGCGGATTGCATATCTCCCCGCTTCTCTTTGCAAATCTTGCGGAGACGTACGAGCTTGAGTAAATTTTGCACAAAAGAAGGAATTTAGCTTATGGGTATACAAAAAATAGATAACAAAATTTATTGATTCATACCTGAGATTTCGTCCCATGTTTCCGTATCTGAAGGACGACCAAACTCGGGAGGTAATTGATAATTTTGATATTTGGAACGCCCTGCCAAACCTTTACGCAAGTAAATATCATAAGTGCAAATTCAAAGGAAAAAGTGGTAAAATAGAACCAATACTTACGGCTTAGGAAAGAGCTCCATCGTGAAAATCGTGAAAGGAAGGCTGGATACCTCATTGAAAAAAAAGTTCAAAGCACGTTGGAGTAATTTTATGCAACGTTAATATCGGTAATACAAAGATTTGTAATCAATGCAAAAAATCAAAATCACGTTTATTTAATCAGTTTGATAATCGAAGTTATTTATATACTGTGGTGTTTGAAGTTAGAGTGAGAATTTCAAATAATAACTTAACATGTAAAAATCAAAGTAAAAAATAGCTATCACGAAATAGCAATAAATAAAGTCTAAAGTACTAGCCCTCAGGAATACCTAAGATGATTTTATTTTAAATAAATAGATACATATATATGAATAAGTTATATAATAAATAAATCGAATAAATAGATATGTGAATTATACAATGTTAATTTGACGCATTTCTGCTCTAATGCTTTGTAGACATGCATAATGTAAGGCAAGCTCAGTTGCTGTAAATCCATCAGGGTGATAAATCCATTCAACAACTTTTCTCTGTATAGTAATACACGCTTGGATCTTCTTACCAACTTCTCTAGCACGTTTAATTCTTTTGATAGCATTCTGCATCCACAATTCATAATGATGAATCGCTTTTTTTTCGAAGTAGGAGTTATTAGCTTCGGATCTGCTTTTAAGTTCCATATAGTCTTTATAACAAATATCACAATATGCATTTCCTGTGCAATTTGTATTCCAATACTTTTCAATTGTAGATCCGTGATATTCTTCATAAATACATTTCCGATCAACATAAACAAGCTGATCACAACTATGACATATTGCAATATTCACTTCAAAAGCACTGCCAAGCTCACCTTCCCATAAATATACCATCTTCCTAGCAACCATATATCGCTTATGGTAATCAGCAAATTTATTATTATTTCTATAATCCACCAATTGATTCCAGATTCGTTTCTTCCAATCAGATTGGGTTTCTCCATCACGAATTACTGGAAATTGACAATTATCCCTCCACTCAATATTGTTTAAAACTGGGCATTTATCTGTATAGATCATATTTAATGATTAAGTAAATTATAGTATTTTTAAAGATTATGTGATTTATATCGTATTTAGGGATTTTAGACCTATTGGATTTAATTAATTATATACTTAGAATATCTGGATTCATTTTTTATTAATTTAGCATGTAAGAGGGCAGAATCAAAAATATCTATTGTTGAGAATATTATTAATCTTTCTAGCTTATTATCTTTTAGCTTTTTAATATCTATCTCAGATCCAATATAAAGTTATTTTCTATTTGACAATATGCTTCGAAGAAGTATCCCTAAAGAGCCAGATTATATAACTCCTGATCTTATACCAAGAAATACAAGACATATGAGCAGTATATTTATATTTATATAGAATTGCTCGTGTAAATATTACAAAACAACGAGGCTCTAACTAGTTATGTACGATTGCTTATGACGATTGACAGAACATATGAAATCAACAAATGGCTCATGATTTCTTCATTCTCAGATATAAGCACCAAAACTGGTTCATAATTTATACTGGTAAATAGTTGTGAGATTTTTAATATGAGCAGATATCAATAACAAACCATTTTTAATTACAATTATTAACACATAATTTTATCACGATATATTTTCAGTTTATAGTAGGTATTTTAAAGAAATGGCTTATAGGGTCTAATAACTTGTGTAACTCAATATCTTCGCTAAAATTATTAACCTATCATGTGATATGTGTTATAGAATGAATTTGAATGTAATAAAACCTGCATGCATCATCAGGTCATGTGATATACTGATTACCAAATTTAACTAGTCTTCCTTATACCCTGCATATCTATGTGAAAAATATCTCAAAAGCAGATACATAACATCATTTTTTATTCTTATTGGTCTTTATTTATATTTATCGCAGAACTAAAGCACTATGTTGTACTTTTTACAAATAGGAATATCGATAATCTGGTTTGAATAATTGACTCAAGATATATGTATCTATGACACTGGACTATGTTTATACATATCCTTTGTTCTTATGCATATGCTATCTTTTTTTCCTAATCTATTCTTCGGTGAAATGACGAAAAGTGATAAAAGGAAAGTATTGTAAACTTTTTTATCTATAATCAAATAACTGACTCTGGAACATATACATATTCTTTGTTATTATGCATATACTGATTTCTTAATTCATGAGTCGAGATACTAAAAAAGAAATAACAAGAAATGTTAAAAGGAGAGTATAGCGATGTTGATGAAAGCTTTAGTTGTGACTTTATTTGCAATTTGATTTATCAAAATAATTCAATAACTCAATTAACAAGTCAATTAGTTAATTAGTTAAGTTCTAAATATTATTGGCTCAAAAATAAACTTCTTTGATAATAATATCCTTTTGAAAATAATACATTTATTATATTAAATATTTCTTTTATTATTTCATTATTTAAGTTTTTAAAGTTTTATTTTAGTTTTGTTATAATTTCTCACATTCTTGTGATGTTATGTTTATAACCTCTTACACATTATAATATTATGTTGATAATCTCTTACATATTTGTAATATCATATTTATAGTTTGGATTTCTTATACGTTGTGATGTCATATTGTTAGAATGATTTAATAAATTGAATTTATAATATTTTACTTATCTATAAACCATTGTCGTAATTATTAAATACACATTAAATTATAAGATTTCTTAAAGTCACTTTTTAGCTGACTAGTAATTAAATGAATACACGTCATCAACCTTTAGTTATTTATCTTATCTCTCTTACCTGATTTGAATCATGTGTTAAGCATATAAAAAGATATAATATATTTGAAACCCAAGTAAAATGGTGACAGTATTAACTACTGACAATTAAACAATGTCACTAAGAAAGATAGATATCTATTACCTCGCATTGATGAACTTTTAGATGCATTTTAAAGTGCCAAATACTTCTCAACTATTGATCTTGCTGCTGGCTATTGGCAAGTAGAGATGAAATCAGAAGACAAAGCAAAAATTGCGTTCATCACCAAACAAGATCTATTTGAGTTTAATGTCATGTCATTTGATTTAACAAATATATCTGTTACCTTTCAACGACTCATGAATACTGTATTTAGAGAATATATTGATAAGTTTATAGTTATTTATTTGGATGGTACAACTGTATATTCTTCTACATTTGAACAATATCTTCAATATCTTCGAAGAACTTTGAATAAAATTCATATTGCTGAACTGAAAATACAACCAGAAAAATGTCATTTTGAAAAAATATCACTACTTTTTCTTGATTATATTATTGAAAAGAATGAAATCAAGTCTAATTCAGCCAAAATTGAAAAAGTTCAAAGCTTTCCAGTATCCACTAATTTAATTACACTCAGAGATTTTGTTAAACTTGCTTCATATTATCATCACTTTATAAAAGATTTTGCTAAAATAACATCACTTCTCCATCAACTATTTCACAAAGACAAACCTTTTATTTGAACTAATAAATAACAAAAAGTCTTTGAAGAATTAAAACAATATCTAACAATTGCATCAATATTAACATACTCAGATTTTAACAAACCCTTCATACTATTCACTGATACTTCAAAAATTGGACTTGGAGCTGTTCTATCACAAAAAGATAAGAATAATTTAGAAAGAGTAATTGCTTATGCAAGCAGAAAAGTCTCACAAGCTGAAAGCAAATATTCAACAACTGAATTAGAATATCTTGCTATTCATTGAGCAATCAAATTCTTTCATCCATACCTTCACTCTCATATACCATTTCAATTGATAACTGATCATGCTGCTTTAATCTGGCTATTCAATAAACCTAATCCACCTGGAAGATTATCTTATTGGATAATGAAACTTAGAGAATATAACTTTGAAATAATCCACAAAAAAGGCAGAATTCATTCCAATGTAGATCCACTTTCAAGAATACCATACACATCAGATAACAATAATCATCCAAAATAAATTTGAATGAATATGTTGAATTATATAATTATCTTGACTCACTCAAACTACCAGACTAGCCCTGTAAAAAAAATAAAAAACAAAAATCAGGAAAAAATCCAGTTTTTTAGTTTCGGAAAATCACAAGTTTTGTTAACAAATTTCCGGGATGCGATATCTCGCGAACCACAGATCCAATCTGGACAAAAATACACCATTCGATTCGTCTAGTCTTGACGAATCAAATGGTGGTATTTTCGTTCAGATTGGATCTGTGGTTCGCAAGATATCGCGTTCCAAAGTTTCCGGATCAATTTTTTTGATTTTTTTATTTAAAATTAAAATAAATGCATTATTTCCAAACACACTATCA